TACTGACATTAACAGAAAATATGCAACTATTTCAGCTTGTCAGGCAGACAGGTTCAGCTTTGACATTTGAGTTCTTTAACTTTTTTAAGCATTGCCAAATTTCACTTTAAATCCATATTTTGTTCCACTTAATCTAGGAGAGTGTGTTTTTCATTCCCTCTTAAGACCAATGGTTAAATTTTATAGAATTGAAGTAAAGTTCATTCTGATAGTGAAATTCACTCATCTTTTTCAAGTCTAATATAGGGTTTCACCTAATATTAAATCTGTATCTAGCCTTTACATGAAAATATTTATTCTAGTCCATAACCCAAATAGAAAGATTGAAACATGGTCATTAAATATTAGATGTTACAATAAATAGAATGTGCATTTTTTGTCTTGAGTTCTCTGGTATGATCCATTGGACATTGGGCTAAAGTTTGTAAAAGTAAGAAAAAGTGGAACAAAATGGTATCTTCTTTGGCATCATTAGATATACTTAGCTGCTTATCAACTACAATAATAGAAATCACTTCTAGTGATCAGCCACTAAAAGCAATGATTCACACAGGGAACACAGGAAACTTCCTTAATGCAAGCATTGCGAAAGTAAATTTGTAGAAAATTTACCCGTGCCTACAATCAGCTAGCTATAAGGTCCAGCAATAAACTCTATCAATTTTGCTGAATACCATTTGGTGTAACTAACTAGTTAGCATTCAACAAGTGATAGACCAGATAATATCAAAAGAGAACCTGCAAGACACCTATGCTTACATTGATAATGTAACTATTTGCAAGAAAAATCAAGTGGAACATGACAGAAATCTTAAATTATTCATGGCGGCTGTTAAAAAGTACAAGCTTACACTTGACCAAGACAAATACTATTTTAGTCGTAAAAATATCAAATTACATAATAAGTAAAAACAACATAAAACCTGATCAAGAATGTCTGAATCCATTAGTCAGCCTATCAGTCACCAAAGATTTACCTGATCTGTGCTTTGCATTAGGAATGTTTGTACACTATGCCTATTGGACATCATCTTTTTCAGACAAAATCTACCTTCTAACAACAGTATCAAACTTCCTGTTATCTCCTACAGCAGAGAAAGCATTTAACGAGTTAAAGAGGGGCATAGTGAAAGCAATCATTATGATGCCTGATCATACACTACCTATGGTAGTGGAGGCAGACATCTCAGAATGTATCATAGCTGCCTCTTTAATACAGTTAGGAAGGCAAATAGCCTTTTTCTCCAGAACCCTGTCTAAATCAGAATGTAGGCATTCTGCAATAGAGAAAGAAGCCTATGCTATTATTGAATCACTGAGAAAATGGAGGCATTATTTAATCAAGCAACATATTAAACTAATTACAGACCAAAAATCAGTCTCATCCGTAATTAACCTAAAAACAACAAACAAAATTAAAAATGAGAAGATAGCCAGGGGAAGGATGGGACTCTTGTGTTATTTGTTCAATGTAATGTACAGCTCAGTAAAGAAAATGCAGCTGTGGACACCCTCTCCAGTGTTTGTAGCTCGGCTGCTTGCAAAGAAGAGTTAAAGAAACTACATGGAGAGTTGTGTCACCCAAGTGTTAACATGCATGGTCCACATAACAAAAATCAAAAACCTCACATACTCAGTAGAGGATGCAAAAGAAATTACCAATTCATATAAGACTTGTGCTGAAAATAAACCTAAGTTTTACAGTCCTAACACCAGCAAGGTCATAAAAACCACTCTACTCTATGAGAGAATTACATTGGATTTTAAAGGTCCACTCCTGCAAAAAACTCCTAACAAATATATACTGACAATAATTGATAAATATTAATGGTTTCCTTTCACAATAGCCTGCCCTGATGTATCCTCTACAACAGTCATACAAGCACTTTGCTTAGTTTTTGCCATCTTTGAACTACCTGCATATGTTCATTTAGACAGAGGGGCTTCCTTTATGTCTAAATGTATATGGTGATTCCTACAAGAGCAAAGGGTAGCTGTAAGTAGAACAACCCCATATAACTCTCAAGGTAACGGACAGTGCAAGAGGTATGGAATAATTTGGAAAACTGTTCAACTCCTAACAAATATATACTGACAATAATTGATAAATATTAATGGTTTCCTTTCACAATAGCCTGCCCTGATGTATCCTCTACAACAGTCATACAAGCACTTTGCTTAGTTTTTTGCCATCTTTGAACTACCTGCATATGTTCATTTTTAGACAGAGGGCTTCCTTTATGTCTAAATGTATATGGTGATTCCTACAAGAGCAAAGGGTAGCTGTAAGTAGAACAACCCCATATAACTCTCAAGGTAACGGACAGTGCAAGAGGTATGGAATAATTTGGAAAACTGTTCAACTCCTAACAAATATATACTGACAATAATTGATAAATATTAATGGTTTCCTTTCACAATAGCCTGCCCTGATGTATCCTCTACAACAGTCATACAAGCACTTTGCTTAGTTTTTGCCATCTTTGAACTACCTGCATATGTTCATTTAGACAGAGGGGCTTCATTTATGTCTAAATGTATATGGTGATTCCTACAAGAGCAAAGGGTAGCTGTAAGTAGAACAACCCCATATAACTCTCAAGGTAACGGACAGTGCAAGAGGTATGGAATAATTTGGAAAACTGTTCAACTAGCAAGTGCTGATAAAAGGGCAGCTTTAGAGAATTGGGAACAATTACTCCCAGAGGCCCTGCATGCAATTAGAATGCTGCTATGCATACACAACACTCCATGAATGATTCCTCCCATTTCCTAGAAGAAATTCGACTGGAATATCCCTACCATCTTGGTTCTTGAAACTGGGAGTGATATTACTAAAAAGATATACATGTGAATGAATAAGAATGAACCACTGGTGGATGGAGTGGAGCTTCTAGACACCAACTCTGATGGACAAAAAGACACAGTTTCACTAAGAGACTTGGCTCCAGCAGGGGATGAACCAGGACACACAAGCCTAAGCTAGGCTGTCCTCAGGACACTTCAACTGTCTTTGAAGAAACAGAAACATGGTTTCCTGTTGAAGATTATGAGAAACCCTTGAGCTCTGGTTACTCAAGTGGGGACAAACAGGTTTCACAAAAGAGAGCCCACCCACCTACTGATACTTCAGAGGATGAATGAGCCACTCTTAGAAGATTACGAAAATGCAGCAGGATTAAATCCAGTTCTAACAAGAAAGAGGAAGAACCTCATCATGCTCCTGGCAATCTGCCATGGTCTTGCAAAAGGCAAAGGATGCCTGCTCAATTCAAGGACTTCTTCCCTCTATAAGAATAAGGCAGGGGAGAATGTGGTGTGATCCATTTTAAACCCCCCCCACCGCCATTAATGGATCTGTTGCAGAGTTCATTAAAGCTTACTGTTATGCAAATTCGTATTGTCTCAAACATTTCTACTACAATACCAACTAATAAACCAGCAAATAAAGTGTCTTTATCTGTGGTGAGTCATACAAAATAAATGTTATCTAGCATAATGTATTTGAGCCTTGTAAATCTGCATGTTTTAAAAAAACACCTGTGCTTTGGGTAGACATGATATCCAGGAAAAGATACAGATAAAGAGACTAAAAATGTAAAATGTTGCATGTGAACAAGTAGGAGAATGAATTCTTCAAGCTGTAGATGAGTATGGTTCTGAAAATTGCTTAATTTTGTTTGAATGCAACCCACCATCAAGCATGGCAGATTTTTGGGCTATGGTATAAGGAGTATTGATTGCTTAGTGCATCTGAATTGTGAGTTGAAAAATATCTCTTATGTGAAGAAATAAAGAATTAGGTGTAAACTAGAAAGAAAAGTGAAGAGTCTGAAGATGACATTCATCAATCTTCCAGTTTAAGCAATGAGAAAGAAATCCAATTGAAAGAAATAAAATTGAAGACTAACAACAAAAGAGTGAATAATAAATAACAAGAAAAAGAAATGCTAACCTAGTTAATATTGTTGCAAACCTGTTTTGAAAGAAGGAGATAGAATTTGAATGATAAAATGTCTGCCATAGTAATAGCACAACTAATTAATTTGAACAAAGTGGAAAAAACAATCACAAATGACAGCATTCTCTGAAATTAAATCAAAATGGTGATTACAATTTGTTTAACAATCACTACCCAACCAGGCTTATCTAAATATTCTATAAAGGATGAAGATCATTTGACATTTTACTCTTGTCAAAAACTTAGAATATATACATCTTCAACTGACAGATAAAAAGTAGCAGAAAGACCATAGAAGAGATTGTTGCATGAAATTGTTTGTTTTTGTTTTTTTATTATTGAAAGTGCTTTCAGAATTATTCAGATTCAAATTATTGTATTTCTCAATGCTGTTTCTGGAACACTTCATTAAAATATAAATTATACATAAGGTAAAATAATAAAATTTGTTTTTCATCTGGATTCTAACATTGTTTTCCATGGCAATAATTATGGTTCAGACTTGGGTCAAAAAGCAGAGATAATAATAAATAAATTGAAGACAATTTACATAGTTTCACAGAGCCAAGTCTCTTAGTGAAATTAATAAAACATGTGAATAACTTTTGTCTATTTCTGGCTGTTAAAAATACATATGCAAAATATTCTGAAAAAATTTATAACTTTCAATTACTTAATAATAAAAAAAAAACTTCAAGCAATGAAAGTTAATTCTGTTTCATAAGATGATGCTTAAATATTTGGCAGTAATTTATTGCAAATTTTACATGTCATCTATTAAAAGGGATGTAAAGATATCTTGTATGTTCTGGTAATAGCATAAATTAGATTTATAATAAACATACATGCTCTTATTCAATCATTGAAGGTGTATAAAGGTGTATTTGAAGGATTGGATTTATAAATATTACTTAATCAAATAAGAAATATTATTATAAATGATTTGTTTTTTTAAATATCCTAACTGGTTAAATTTTCCAAGGAACCGGAAATATGAAATCCGCCTGAAAAATGCCACAATTTACAGTGAAATTTTCACCTTTTTCACTGCTGACAATTCTTCTTCGAATTTTCGTTTGTTCTCTTCAAGGTTTGAAATTGTCAATTTCTCTGTTGTTATTTCATGTTGCAATAGATTGAGCTTATCTTGGAGTTGAAAGTTATCCTGAAAAAAGAAGATAGAAATAGAAACAAACCCTGTTCCTTTAAAATGGAGTAATATAACAAGTATTACCAAATGTATTGTTTGGAAGATTGCTATTTGTAACATTTATTGTATGTCTTTGAACTTCTTGCAGAGGTTTACAATATTATATTTTATTATAAATCAAAAGAAATGTGAAAACAAAGTAACAGAATATGAATATTATTCTAATAGATGCAGTAAAAAAAGGCAGTTTGAATGCTAACAAAATATTGCTGGGAACACATTTCCTTACTCTTTCCTAATTAGTATGCACTGTACTTGGCCATTCATGGGCTTGGAATGGCAAATCACAGCGGAGCTCTATTTTTACAGAGAAACAGAGTTTTTGTAGAAACAAGAGAAGAAAATGTGTGAAAATTGTTAATCATGTTCATGACCCAATTTTGGTTATTGATTAATCTTGACCAAAATAACTGATGAGAAGCTACAGTATTTACATTATTCAGACTATTGTTCTCATCTTTGTCGCCATATTTATTACAATGCTTCAGCCGTTGTTTGCTCTGGCCTTCTTCAGATAGTTGGAATGTTGAACTGAACCCTTTATATCACTCACTGGCATAGACTGTTTTAGTTCCATGTGCCATGTTTAATGGATGTCAGTTGTCAGTTATCTCCTGTTAATTCCCCTCTGCAACTTCTCCACTGCCTTAACCGGGTATTGAACTCATACTCTTTGGATCCTGTCACTGGCTCTGACTAATGCCTTTATCCACTGTGCCATGTGTCCTCAAGGTAGTGGAGAACTTCGAGAGTGGAATTAACAGGAGATAACTGACAACTGACATCCATTAAACATAGCACGTGGAACTAGAACAGTCTCTGCTAGTGAGCAAAATAAAGGGTTCAGTTCGATATTCCAACCACCTGAAGAAGGCTGGAGCATACACAGCCGAAATGTTGTAATAAATATGGCAACTAAGATGAGGACAATAGTCTGAATAATGTAAATAGTGTACATAATACCTCATCTCAGAAATATAGACAGATACTGAGAAGCTACAGATATTCAGGGAATATGTTGAGTTTATAATTCATTCAGTTGGATATGAAGAAGTAGGTGCCAAAATATTTAGATGCCAATCAGAAAAAAGATTGAATGGACACCAAGTTGACTTTACGACATTTTCAGCAATCTAAAGGTAATTTTTTAGAATGTTCTGATTCTCTATGACTGAAGAAATTTAAGAACCCAAAGTCAGTAGTATGTTCACAGCTACAGGCTTTTCATATCAAGAAGGGATTTTTAATAACTATCTTTTGAAGGACCAAACAGTCAATGGAGACTATGACATTTCTGTTTCAATTAAAGGAGGCATTGAAAGTAAAACAACAAGTGAGGCTGAAGAAAGGTTTTCTCTTTTTGCAGGACAATACACCTGCTTGCAGGATTGGTAAGTTGAGTGCATAGGCTATCTACCCTGCATACCAGATATTTCTCCATCCATTTCCTGGTATATATTATTTTGGGTCTATTTTAATTTGGCTATCTTCAGAAGGACCAAAAGTTAATGATTAAAAGAAGCATTGAAATAAAATCTGGGAACACATTTCCTTACTCTACAGAAGGTTTTTCTCTTTTTGAAGGACAATGTACCCACTCACAGAGCCATTAACTTAGTAAGGCCAGACTCCTACCTTAGCCAAAGTTTTTTCTCAATTTTGGTCTTTCAGTAACTGACAATAATAGGTATTTTTGTATACTCTTCTTGCAGAGTACAGCTTCTCAATAATTGATATGTGTCCTTATATATATCTTCATGACACTTCTCAAAGCAGAAGACACAATGATGTTTTAAAGTTTATAACTATGATATACTCTCAGCCCCTCCACAATATGAGAATAGATTTGAATTCAAGAGTAAATGAAAATGACTGAATTTGAACTCAGTATACCTATTCCACTTTCCGATCTGAAAACTGTTGCACCTTCAAGACAGGCAATGTGATGGGTCTTTTAAAGAATTTGGTACTTGCATGCATAGTCCATTCACAGTACTCACCAGATTTTACTCTATTTCCTGCTTCCAAACCTTAAATGCAATTTGAAAATTCTTAAATGATTCAGAGGTGAGAGCAGCAGCAGAGAAAAATTATGATAACTGAACATCAGGACTTATTTTTAAAGAGTTAAAGAAAGTTCAAAAACAATGTCATAAATGTGTTGAACATGAAGTAGCATGAATGTTCATGGCTCTAAGACGTCCCTTCTTGGCAGGGCTGAGAACATAACAATACCCCATTTTAGATATTGTTATAGGAATTAGAAAGGAAACCTAAACAAATGAATGTTCTTGATTTGTTGTTAATATTATCCAGATTTCAATATTAAAGATAAATATACAACCCCAAAATAGTTTTATGAAAATAATACAAACCTGATTGAGTGAATCTTTATCATTTTTTAGTTGTTTGTTTCTAATTTCTGTTTCTTTTAGTTGATGATGCAAAGTATCTTTCTGAAGACTGAGGTTAAGAACATGTGATTTTTCCTTTGACAATGACTGTTCACATTGTTCCAGATGCTCTTTAATAAGATTCTTTTCCTGCAAAAATATAAATGAATTTAATGTATGACAATTTTCTCAGTTAATTTCAAAATAAGATATGTTTTGTCTTGTTATTTACTTAAAATATGATGATTAATCATTCTTGTAAAAACAAGAATCCCTCACACTATGTAACAAATGTGTTTCATAATGCTTTCATAATTGTACAAATCAAGAAATATATTAAGCAGGATTCATATCTAAAATTAAGCTCATCTGATTGAAAGTAATATATACGTTAGGATAAAATTAAAAGATGATAAATATAACAAAATCTAATTAATCCTGAATTTTTATAATTTTATGACTCTTCCTTTTTCTTCTGCATGGAAAAATTATCCAAGAAGTATTCTTGACTTTCCTTTTCTTATCTTTTGCCTGAAGTTTTTGCTAGCACAAAATTACATTTGAACATTTATGATGCATTCAACATTTGCTTTGTTATTCCATATTATATGCAGTGACACTTGCACTAAGCAATTTTTGAGTTCTTGTAAGAAGAAATCTTTCTTGGAAACTTCACTTTTGCTTACATTTCATTCTAATTGAGTTACTTTTTGTTGACTTTTGTAATTCATAAAATTTAAGTGACATTTTTTTGTAGTCTATAGAATTGAATAGTATTATCACATTTTGGTTGTAGAGATTATACACAAAAGATTATAGGTAAATGCTGATATTCATCTGAAAAAATATTTTCTTATATTGATTTTCCAGCAAGGAAAGAAAAAAGTTCATTATTATCATCAGGAAAGGAATGCATCATACTTTTATTTGGTTGCAAAAGGAAAAAACAATGATTAAAATTTTAACGTGTATTGATTGATTTTCAGAATATATACATAATATGCAATGCTAGCATACATAGTTGTGTGAAAAGCACTTATCTGGTGTGGATTTACCAGTATAAGTTCACAAGGTATGCACAGTTGGTAGCACAAGTGGTGTGACCTTGGCGGGGTTGATCTGTGGTAAGGCGTGTTTGGTGAATAGGTTAACCTTGTCATATTGGTGATGATGAGAAAGGCCTGCAGTGTAATAGTGAAGCTTGATTGAGTGGATTGGATTCTGTGTTGGATTCTGGTTGAATGAGAGATCAATCCAAAATGGTAATAACCAGCCTGTGAGGCAGTGTGAAAGAATAACAAAATTGTTGATATGTAGTTCTTTAGTTGCTGTTGGTAAGGGAAGCAATTAGGTGTAAGGATGTAGTTGGTAATGTCAGCAGTTGACGGATTTGTTGGGTCAGCTGACCAAGGTCATGGTGGTTGACTGAATTTATGGTGTTATGATGAGAGAGGCTTGGGGTGGATTAGTGAAGCCAGAAATCTGACTTTGCTGATACAGGGAGTGTGAGTGTGAAGAGTCAGGTAAAGTCATGAATCTGACTTTGCTGATACAGAGAGTGTGAATGGAAAGTCTATGCACTTGGAGTGGGTAATTAGAGGAGTGTAAGTCTTGGGTAGATATATGTGTTGGGTTGGTTGACTGATATCACAGTGATGACATTGAGAGCCTGATGGTGTCAACAGTTGGCCTGTTAGTCCAGGTTCTGTGTGTGAAGAGTTGGATCAAGTCAGGAATCTTTTTGCCATTACAGGGGATTGACTGAGAGGGTCAGTCATGGTGGTGACAACAAGAACCTGCTGGTGTTGACAGCTGGCCTGTTAGCTGGGTTCTGTATCAGTTGTTTATGAGGGATTTTTTTATATGTAAATCTGTTGGCTCCCTGGCTCATCTTTTTTTTTCTTATTTTTTTGTGGCAACATTTGTTATTGGCTATTGTATGTTAAATTTTTGTGGGGATTTGTTTATAGACTGATGTAATGCTTGGAGACCCTGTGCAAAAGAAAACATTTTTATTTTGGGTTTTGCTTTCTTAGCATTCAAATCTGGTTGACATGTATTGTGAATCAGACAGAGATCTAATTTGTGGCAGAATATAACAAGAGTAAAAGTATTTTATATCAGAATAATATCACAAGAAGATTAATTTTTAACTTACATCTGTCAGATTTTTCCATCCATTTGCTAAGTATTTATTCTCTTTTTGAAATAACTGTGCCTGTTCAGTTTCCTCAATTAATAGTTTCTCAGTTTGTTCCAAGTTTATCTGTAAATCTTGTTTTTCCTGCATATATAAAGTATCTAATTCATTATTAGTCATCCTTTGTTTTTGTTAAATTTTAAAAAAACAATTTTCAAAAGAGGAGTTGTTAAAATCAAATTTTAATGACTTTATTGAAAATAAGAAATTTGATATTTGGTGTTCACATACAATTAAATAATAATGTTTACATTGATATTTTAAACATAAATAATTGTAACTCCTTATTTTTCTCTGATATTTTCATGATTATACACTGTTTTATTTATCCTATATATATTTATTCTAAGTTATTATAATTACAATATTTTAGCTGTTGTCACTTCTAAACATTTTAAAGTCTATGCTTGTGCCATTTAATTGAGCCTTGTAATGATCCTTGTCACTTTCACTAAACCAGAGTGTATATGACTTTTTGCATTATTTGATCCAGTATTTGGTCACCATGTAACTAGATCTGCTTAAACAACATTTTTACCCACTAGGACAATTCAGTGGTAGAAATTCCAGGAAAATTGCCGACTATGACAGAGTACAAAGAGTACAACAACCAAAATATTGTGACTACAACTCCAAGTAATTCAATGTATAATAACAGTAAGTATAATTGTTGTTTGTAAAGTCCTAATTTGCATAATGGTTAGATTTAAAATTACAAATATATTTCACTGAGTAAAATGTGCCATGATTATGACCACCACTTGATTAAGTGCATTGTTAAATGATAAGGTATATGATATGATTCTAGAGTAATTGCATGAATGACAATTATTCAGTTTTGGGACACAGAAAAACAAAAGCAGAAAAAACAATGAGAAGTCAAATGTAACAAAAACATGAATATTGAAGGCTGGATCATATTTTTATTTGTAGAACATGACAACAATCAAGCTATTTGCAGGGGCATAAAATTAGAATTAGTCTGACAGAAGGACTATAAAAATTTATGTGAAAAAAATATGACCCTCTGATTCTTTCCTCTATTTAGAGCAGGGATTCTCAACCAGTGGAAAATTTTAGGGGCAGGAGGAAAAAATATTTTACTTTTTCTTGTTTTCTTTATTTACAGAATTTTGTGTATTGATTACAATACACTGGCTGGCAATATAATGAACTTTTTGTTTACTGAAATATGTTTCAGTTTATTTATTTAATAATTAGTTATGAATCAAAACAGATTACTGCACATGTATTCAAGTTTAAAAATCTGTCAACATTTTCTATTAATATTAAATTTGTAAATCTAATAAAATAATCCATGTAAATATATATGTACTAATAGAAATATATATGTACTAATGGAAAAGAATGAGGATTTTCAATAATATATGAATATTATTTGGAATGCACCTTTTGAGTTGGACAATCTTGGAAAGTGGGGGAATGACATTTTGACTTATATTGAAAAGGGTGTATTGGGTAAAAAAGGTTGAGAATCACTGATTAAGAGCAAAGATATTTCCAACCAATGTTCAGATGGGACTTTTGATATTTGCTTCTGTGCTGAATTGAGGCAAACAATATCTGGTTCAGGATTAAAAAAAATGTACTGGAAAAAAGAACTCTTCAAGACTCTTTTCAATTAATCAGGACAGAATTTGAAACCAGAAACAGTTCTGAAAAGTAGCATATTGAGCTGCTTAGAGCACATGTGCTCTGGCCAAGTCACTAGGTTGTGAGATACCAATAAGCCATAAAGAACCCTGTGACAACATCCCAAAATCCAAAACCAGATAATTTAATTACAATCTTTATCAAGGACATTTATAATTTCAATTCCACTTTCCTATAAATATTTTTTCTATCTAACAATTTCTTTAGGCACCCAAAAGAATAATTTGTTGCAGACCTCACCACTCATCTTCCTTTTCACATTATTAGATAAGGTGGCTGATGATTAAGACAGGTACACCTGCATATTTTGTTACTTTTTATTTGTCAGGTTTCTCTCCAGTCAATTTTTAAGTGATTCAACAACAAACTAGTAATTTATATTCAATAAGTAAACAAGAAAATGTATTGTGTCATTCTTGTGATTACATTGATAAATAAGAGTTTGTCATCACAATTTTAATGAACAGGAGAATCATAAAGAGTTTTTATTTATTGAAAGAGAAACTATCCTGATATTTATGAATTTTGAAATTCTGAGCCCAAATTATAAAATATAACCACAAAAACAATAATTATAGAGTAATTATTTACAAAAAGTAATTGTTTGAAAAGAAAATATTCAGATAGGATTAAAATTACATTTTTAGTTTTAACAAAATAGTTGATCCAAATTTGTTAACTAATGTTCAAATATTATTTTTAAAAGCAGCATGACAAACATTAATGATCTAAGAAAATTCTTGAATAGTGGATATTGTCTTGCTTATCTTCAACACTGACTGTAGAATAAGTATGTGTAAGTTAAACTACTTAAATAAGAAAGAAATTACTGAATAAAATGTACAGAAATTGAAAAATGATAATTTCAAGAGAAAATATCAAAATATTTGCATAAGATTATGTCTTAAATACTAATAATGTAAATATTATACTGAATTTTAATAATATTAAATTCATAATTTTAGTAATATTGAAATTAGATATTTTTAGTAGTAATATTTAAACTAAATATAATGAAACCTCTTTATATAATTAAAAACCACTATCATGGAAATTTAGTTTAAGAAATTGAAAATATTTGGCTAAAGATGTTAATGATAATTGAGGTATTTCCTTGATTGTATAAGATTAAAAATACTTGCCTCTTGCAATTTTGAGATATCTTCATTAAGGCTTTTGTTTTGTTCTTCTAATAATAAACAACGTTGTTTGAGTAAACGAAGTGATTCTTTGTAAATATCAATCTCAGTTTTACCAGCTCCATTTTCCTGCAAGATTCAACAATTGATGTAAATACAGCTTAAAATTTATCAAAATTACATTTATCCAATTTAAAGTATCTAATCAATGTCTAAAATGAAATTCCATACAGTTTTCAATATTTGCTTATGTATATTTTTCATATCCTGTTTTGTTACTTTACTTAGGCAAGCTTAAACAGGAAGTATTAGGTTGGAAAATGAAATTAGACATACCAAGTACACATTCTCTGAGTTCATGCTATAGCTTGTAGAATAGGTATGAATTCTGTACATACATTGTCCAATTACAAATCATCTTAAGCATGAAATGATTGTAAATAGGGGAAATACTCAATGATTCAGGCTGCTTGTAATCATTTTTTTTATTATAAGTTGATCTGTAAAGTTTATAATTATACTCCATGTAGAAATGTTTCAACATTTCTGCTACTATCAGAGAGGGGTATGACTACGGAGTGCATGGTCCAAATGGCCTTTTCCCTTGCTTGATTCTAAGGATCCAGTAAAGAAGATAATTTTCCCTTTCAGCCATTGGTGTTTTTTTAATTACTATTTAATTTTTTTTCAGTTACTCGTACAGAAAACTAAATAATAATAATAATAATAACATGAATAAAATTTATCCTCCTAACATGGATTTTAATTACACCATACTTTTTTTAAGAGATAGCTATGCAAGCAAAGCTAGTAACAGAACTGACAATGACTTTTCTTAAGGCAGAGAAAGTAGTTTTATTTTGTTATTGGTGTGATTTTATGATAACCAGGTTAAATTAATGTTATATCCATTTCTCTCACTGCACACTCCTGACAGCAGTTGTTATAATGAGCATTTGGTAGCAAAGGAAAGGAACAAACAAGGATTAAAATTTCAACAGCATGTATTCGTCAAAATTCAGAATATATACATCATTGTTTGAAATTTGGCAAAAATTGTTCATGTATGGTTCTACAGTTGCTGTTGGTAAGGAAAGTGATTCAGTATAAGGGCATTGTCAGTAGGACCAGGAGTTGACTGATTTCTTAGGTTGGTTGGCTGAGGTCACTGTTGAGGTCAGAAGATAGGTCTGGAGTGGATTATCTGTTGGTAGAGTTTGACATACACTTTTCTCCATGGTTGAAATCAACACCTGTGAGGTGTTTGATGGGCTGGCACTCGTGTGATGCTGAAATGTTGAAGCTGAATTGCTTGGTAAGGTGGGTTGGTTGATTGAAGTCATGATGGTGGGTTGATTCGTTGTGAGGCATGTTGGTTACTGAGGTTATGGCAATAGCAATGAGAGAAGCCAGGAGTGGATAGTGAAAGTTGATCGAGCGGAATGTTTCTGTTGGATTCAGGTTGAATGTGGTGTCAACAAGGGAGGCCTGGAGTAGATAGTGATAGTTGAGCTGTTAGAAATCACAGTGATGACAAGAGAGGTGAACATGTTGACAGGTGACCTTTTTAGTCTGATACTGTGTTGGTCATTATGAGGGGCTTTCTTTTAAGTAAATCTTGTGGTCCCCAGGGTCATCTTTTTTTCAGTAGGAATATTAGTGATTGTCTATTGTATTTTATTGTGGGGATTTGTTTTGTGAATCAGATGTGATGCTCAAAGCAGCTGTGCAGAAATCAACTTTTTTTTATTTTGTGTTTTGCTTTCCTAGCATTCATATCTGGCCAACGTGTAGTGTAAATCAGAAAGAGATCTAATTGCAGCAGAGTATAACATTAATAACTATGTTCTCAAATAATTTCCTACCAGCCTCAATGCAAGTGAACTTTGGTGTTTCTGTCATTATTTGTGATTCATATATCAGTTATAACTTCTTTGTCTTCTGTTTACATATCAAACGATATAACAACAGAAAGAAGTGATGAATTTGACAATTCAAATTTAGGTTAATAGCATTGGTATTGAGAGGAATTAAATACCTGTTTGAATTTAAGAATTTTAGTACACTTTTACTCTTATTAGGAAATTAGTTGATTTGATTGTGTTACTTACCCTGAGAAGTTTGTAATTTTCTTCTTCCAATATTTTGATTGTTTTGGATGAGTGTTCCAAGAGTTTTAATTTCTTCTCACCTTCACTATTACAGAGTTTATGTTGGGATTGTAATGTCTTTAGCTGTGCATGGAGATTCTCAATCCTTTAAAAATTAGGAAACAATTATAAAAATTCTGTTGTAAACAAATAACTTCAGAATTTTGTATTTTCATAAGTTTACAAAGGCACTAAAAACTTGTTCTATGTTTCATTCTAGTAAAGAAATAGGAAAGATAAAATTAAACATTTTAGCCTTTATAGATGTTATAAGGTACACAAAAAGTAACAATAATGAAAGAAGAATATAATTTTTCTTTTAAATGTTTTTATAAAAGATTTTTATTCTTAAGTACTTAAAATAGGGATAAACATTTCAATGTAAGCACAGTCCATTAAATTTGAGATTTGTTGATCAAATATTGATATCTTACAATTTGATTAAAATTTCTTTAATGTAATAATGATAATTATTATAATACTAGCATGGTATCTGTCAAAAATATATGGTCAATACTTCTGATTTGGATCAGATTATCTGTATAATATGCTGACTAAGTGTTCATTTTATGGTCATCTGTGGAGGATCAGAGTGTACAAGGGTGGGCTGAAAAGTTCATAAGTTGACTATGAAGGAGTGATACTGTCAAATCTTGCATGTATTAATTTCAACTCTTCTTATTAGTAATTGTATTGTTTCTTTCCAGCTAAACTAAAAAAAGACTGCTTCAAAAAAAGTCATCAACAGTCATCATTACTGTAATACTGGTTCCCAGTGTTTTTTCATGTTGAAGAACAGATGATAATAAATCAGGAGAATAAGGAGGTTGATCAACCAGTTCAAAGCCACAGTCACACACAGCAACCCTTGAAACCAAAAAGCATTTTCTGGATTGTGCTGGAGTATTGTCCTGATGAAACAAATCACCTTTCATCAGTTCTCCTAGGTGTCTGGTGTTGATAGACTGTCATAACAGTCTCAGCAAGTTGGCATTGATGGTGTGACCCTTTTGAAGATAGTCAATAAACACAATGCCTTTTACATCCCAAAAAACTGAGGCCACTATCTTCCCTGCAGAAGAAACAGCCTTGGCTTTCTTTGGAGCAGGTGAGTAGGGCTGTTTCCACTGTATGGATTGTCTCTTTGTCTCTGGATCAAAGTGATGATCCCAACACTCATCCTGAGTGAGTAAATGTTCAAGGAAAGCAGCTGGATCTACCTCAAACAATGTCAAATGTTTCTGTCATGTGATCAGCCTGGTGCACATTTGCTCACATGTCAGATGTGGTATCCATCAAACAGAAAGTGGATTGTGCTAAATATTCTCAATTCTCTCACAGGATATGCTAATAGCATTGGCTATTTGATTTATAGTCAAGAAGAGTTGAAATTAATGCATGCAAGATTTCACAGCTCTACATGACTCCTTCACAGTCAACCTATGAACAGTTCCACCCACCCTTGTAGGATCTGTGCACTCTGTTACACACACATTGTTTTTGTTATGCAGATTATTTTTCTTGCATTATTTTATGTATTTTCAGATGCTTTATTCTCATCATGAAGATGGCTAGATTCTTCGTTTGGTAGTTCCATTTTTCAAGATGTTGATCTTTACTGTGGTTATGTTTTTAAATCAGAGTTTCATTTTTAGACATCCATCAATAGAAATCCAACACATATTTGATTTTTAATTGAAATACACCATCCCCATCTGTATTTAGGAAAAAAGAGCTTGTTATTTCCAACATTGAACAAATGTTATCCCAACACCCAATAACAAAAAATGGCTCATATAATATAAAGACTTGCTAATAGAAAGAGACCAACAATAAAGTTACAATGAACAAACTTTAGAGAAGACAAGTGACTGAGAAATTGTAATGAATTTTTGGATAGTATAACATTCTGTTTTTGTTTTAAATATTATAAATAAAATTTGCTTTCATAATATAATTTAAATTCTTGTTTGTCTTTATATTAAATAATCTTCTAACAAAGAATTTTCTCTTCTTTCTTTGTTTATCTTATAAATTTAGGAAGTGTATGAGCATATATTTTTGAGAAATAGGAATTTTAGTAATAATGATACATAGTTTTATAATCAGTTTTGAAGAAAACATTTTTGTTATTCAAAATAGTTCTTTCAGAATACATAAAAATTACATTGCATAGGTATAACAAGATGTTCTGTAAAAGATTATATTTTATATTAATCTTTTATAGAATGTTTTAATTTGATTTACTTGAAGAAAAATATAATTTTTAAGTGCTATTTTGGGTTTTGTCATTAAACCACTTACACCATTGCCTCAACGATAATATACTCACCTTGTTTGCATTTCTTGTCTGAGATGTTTATTTTCTTTCTGCAGTTTGCTTTTTTCCTGCTTTGTCTTTTCCAGTTCAGTGAGCCGCTTTTTGTAATCCTACATAAGATAATATTCTTCAGAGTATTAAGGAAAAAGTTATACATTGCATAATTTAGAGTTTGGTATGAAATGACCACTTTGTATAGTTTACAATTGAGTTCCTGTAACAAATTTATTTTGAAGTAAAATGAAGGCAATACTCAAAGAAATAAATATCCTTTTTAAATTGACTTCAGAAAGACAAATCAAAATGTGTTTTTTGTGGATCAAGTTCTACTTTTGTTTTATTTGTTGCTATTTATGGAGTATTTTCAGAATTGGAACAACCACTGACCAGTAAAAGTAACTGTTTTGTCATATAATTAGATAAAATGCATGTATATATGTATACATTTCTCAGGGGCTTGTACTGCTTTTGGACTAACCATTAGTCTGAAAAAGACAAAAGTCATGTACATGACTCTGCCTGGGCTGCCTTACATAAAGCCCAACATTCTTGTTAATGGATCCAGGCTAGAAGTATGTATACTTAGGCAGTGCACTCTCTAAGGATGGCTCACTGGATGTGGAAGTGAATTACCACATTTGAATGAGCAAGACAAACATTCAGAAAACTTGAAAATAGACTATGGTCTGATCATAACATTTCCATAAGACAGGGCATATATGGAGGATGAGAGAATTACCCAAAATACTTTCCTATGGTGAGAGCTGGTACAAGGTAACTGACCAGTATTCCAACACAAGCGTGCCATTAGGAAGGGAGAATCTGTCCTAGAGCTATTAAGATACCAACACATAGTATTTATGGAAAAGTCACCCTCTTTTAGCTAGTCATATAAGATCACACCAGAGAAGTCAGGTGCAAACTCCTGTGAATGTAACTCTACCAGAAAGACTGAGTTTTGTGACAAGGTTTGTAAGTCTGTTGTGGGACTCAAATGTCACATGACTGTACACAATGACAGGAAAGTTTCCAACACAGGTAACAGAGACAAACTTTATGTTTGCCATGTGTGTAAAAGAGGTTGTAAAAGTGAAGCTGGTATTAAGAATCACTTATGGGCCCATAACTGATCATTAGCTCAAGTATAAATAATGGAAATGATGGAAATTTTCTGAATGAAAAACACAAAAAAGCTACCAAGTGAAGAGATGATATAAAAGGCAAAATTGAAGCAAAATGTTTTTGTTTTCATAGTTACATTAAATCCAAAATTTAAAAAGAGAAAGATGCTTTTGTGTTGTGCAAACCTCTTTCTGGCTAATGTCAACTTCCTTTATTAAGAGTTTTTTTTTAATTTTTTTTTTTTAAAAGGAAGTTAACATGATCTTTATTTTGTACATATATACGTACATAAGATATTACGTTTGTACATAATATCTTACATTAATTCCACACCTCCGAGTTTCATGCAGGAATAATTTTCAAGTGCTGGAATTATTATATTTGTTTTTATTTATGTTTGGGTTGACACTTTTTTTTTTTTAATTTTCTGCTTCATGTGAGATATATTATTGTTGGGGTGGAATATTATTGGAATTAAAATATTTAAATAAATTGTAGTTTAATTTTGAATTTGAATTTGAGCTCAGATAAACATTTAATATTGAAAATAAAGTTGGAAATAAGAAAAATAAATTCTAAATTAGTGAGACACTGGTTTTCCAATGCCTCCAACACCCATTTTTTGTTTACTTAGATTTTCAAAACCTTTTTAAAATGTTAAAATAAAATCATGCTTGGTAATGGTTAAAAGTATAGCCAAAAGCACTTGGAATTACAGGACATTTGAACAGTTTCTACACACTCTGTGTTCCAGAAAAGAAAACATTTTTTTGAGCAAAAAAGAAAAAATTAAATAAAAAGCTTAATCTCAGTGTCTTGTCTTCAATGAAACATGTATAAATGAAGGATTGCTGCCTAAATACACAATACTTTAAAAATTAGGATATCAGTTGATTTTGCTACCTGGGTTTCAACCTTACGGTATCCTCAGGTGATTTTATCAATTGACCTCCCAACACATTATTTTTAAAAAAAAACAATGAATGCTATATTATTTTTAAAAATAAATAAACAAATGCATGGCATTGGATGTGATGGAAAGGGAGGAAGAGGATGTGAAGAAGGAAAAGGAAGAAGGTGGAGGGGGTGAAAAGCAAGGGTATTATAAATGTATTGGTTTGGTGGGAGAGTAATAGAAGTGTACATACTTTTTGAATCAGCCTCATATGAGCTTAAGAGGAATTTTCTTGAATGAATGCAATGGTTCATGACATTCGATCATTTGGAAATGTCATTATTGCTAAGGTTCAAAAGGTTTTTGAACCAGAGATCAGAAGCTTTTTTCCCCATCCAATTTTAAAAGTTAAAAGCTCTACATGTTATTTTGTATGTTTATTTATTTTCACACATGCATTGAGCACTTTTTAATACTACTCTCCCCTGGTCCAATTCAACCCTAACCATTAACCTTTTTTTTATTATTTAATAATCAAACAAATCCCGTCAGGAATACTCTCTTCATATTACTAGAATCCACTTGGAAAATAACAATGGATTTTTTACTTTATATCAATACTTTCCCCATTCTGTACAGATATTAAACTATGCCAAAAGTGCCGAGGAGTAACACATTGATCTTTAGCAGAAGTGCTGATCCATATATAAACAAACCTGTCAGGTTTTGGGTCTAGTGATAATACTGATAATAACAAAGAAGCTGCTAACAAATATACAACACTGAAAAATTAATGAAGCTGAAGCATCATTCTTTTGTTTTAATATAATTTTTTTTCACATTTTTTTCTTTTTTATTGATAAGAACTTTAATCAAATATATTACTTTTGGATATTTACTTTAATTAATTTTTATTATGTATTTTTTCTACAAAAGAACAAACTATCTCCTGTATAATGGTTATTTCATGCCAAATAATAAAAAAAACATTTCTGCTATTCCCAAATAGCTCATGGTATAATGGTTAATACAATTGCAATAGGACTTAAAATTAGTGATTTTTGTCCACAAGTTTATTTGTCATGATTAGCATGAGAAGGATTTATTATAATTAAGATTAATTGTATAATTGCCAGCATTATTAAAAATTCTATTAATTTAAATTGGAAAAATACTTTTCACTTAAAAGTTATTATGTATTTTATCAAAGTAAGAATATATTTTTAACTGTATCAATAGTGGGACATTACAAATTTTTCAAGTGTAGAGAAAAACTTATTCTGCACAGTTATGAATAATCTATACAATAGGCAAAAGAAAGTGAAATGTGTTCAATTAATCATTTTTGTAAAATCGAACAGAAAGAAGGTAAACAACAATGACAACATTGTTATAACTACTTATCACTTTATTTATGCATTAAAATATATTTGTAATAACTACATATATGACAAAATGGAAATAGCTTTTTTATGACACGTTTCATCCTTTAGGATTTCATTGAACTAAATTTGTTATGTCTGATGAAGTCTTAAAGGACAAAATGTGTCACAAGTAAACTTTTTCCACTTTGTCATACATTTTTCTCCAATATTGTTTTTGATATATAAAAATATATATTGTTATCGCAATAACTAAATAGAAAAAAGTAATACTGTTGGGTTATATAAAAACTATATAACTTTAATTTACAAATATTTTTTTACTTTATTTTGTTGTTGTTGTTTCTTTTTGTTTTTGCTTAATTCAGCAATTTTAAGTTTTGATTTCTGAACTAAAGCAAAAATGAACTGAATGTTCTGGCTGGGAAGCATTAAGTGCATTAGAATCTCAGGTCTTCGTATCATGCATGAATCTTCTACATGGTTGGTTTTTGATTGGCTTTAAGAATATAAAAACCATTAATGAAAAAGTAGCAGGGGTTTCAATAATTCTATTTCTTTCAAATTTTCTAAAAATTTTCCAACATGATTAAATCCTAGAACTCAATTTTTCTGTTTTTATTTTTGTTTTTCTCCAAGAAGATTTCAGGAAGAAGGTGAAATGTTATAGCACAAATATTCCAGCTGTTCCTGATCACCAATTTAAGGATAGAATGCTCAATATTTTAAGACATTTAAGCATTTGTTATAAAAGTTTGTCACCTGAAAGAGATTTTTGCTGATCGCTTGCATTTTAAATATAAAATGTTCTGATCCATTCTGTGAGAGTTCCTGCCAATTATCAATTACACTGAATGCGCATCACTCAGATAATTTGGTACACTCAGCATGATATTTAGTTATGTATAATTTGACATGGAGGATGTGAAGTCTGCTTGCAACTCAAAACTGGAAACAGCAGTTGGTATCTATTTTCTGTTATAATCAAGGATACAATGCTGCTGTCTTGACAAATAGGAATGACATTTAAAGCTAATTATTTTGTTAATCAAGCCCAAAATTTATCAACTGAATCATATAAATGATTGTACAAATTTTAGTAGATATTTCAGTAAATAACTGGTAACATTAATTTCTATGACAAATATCACTATCTTTCTTTTCAAATTTTATTCAGGTTATTGCATTTTCTTTTCACATACTTGAGGTTGTTAACACAATGTGTTGGCCAATGTATTTTTCAGGCTTTGACAAGTGTATAACTGTAAAAAAAAAAGAAACCTAAAAACATCTTTTTACAGAAAAATGGAAATAGAAAAAAAAGGTGGCTATTAATATGGATCAGTCCATTTCAGTAGTCCTAGGTACACAGACAAAGGGTCTTTGATCTTTTGTTTTGCTTATCCAAGTATTTGTTTTCAGAAATGAAGATTGACCTGTCCTTAAGAATGTTGGTGTTAATGTTAATAAGGTGTTAAGGAGATGATAAGTAGGCAATACTTTTCAAGGGATTTAAGAAATAATTTTATTTATTAAACTTAACCTTGATCAAATTCTTTCTATGATTATTAATATCACATTAGTGATGTAGCTGTAGAAAGCATGAAATCTAACATCTCTATATCCTGATACATAACTCTGGTCTAGTCAGAGCTATGTTACAATGGTAGGGAGTGAAATGCAAATGAAAGAATTGTTATCATAATTAAAAAGAGATTTTAATAAATTTGAAAAGTGTTACATAGCCATTGTGAAACTAAAACAGCCAATTATCTTGCACAGTGACATTTATTTCCTGTTCTTTTCTTTTTTTCATAAACATTTCATTGACATTTTTTTCTTGAATAAAGAATTTTTATCTGTAATGTCTTATGTATAGTAAATGCTGTTTACCACACATAAATAAATTAAATAATTTAAATTTGGAGACAGATATATTTAATAATGTTGTATTCATTGGAATTTTCCACATTGGGGTTAATCAATAGGAAATATACAACTTCACTTTATAAAATAAGTGCTAATTTTGAATAGTTTTTTTTTACATTTTGATTATAAGCTTCAGTTTAATTTAACAAAATATGAACATGACAAACATCAACAACCAAATAAACCAGCCCCAGGAGTGTAAAGAAGACTAAGATCAGCTGATCAAGTTGTATTTTCTCTTTGGCTTCCCAAGCAATGTTTGCAGATTACAATGTCGTCTTTTTTTTTTAATTCATTCTCTTCCTCAGTTAATCTCTTTTATATCCCATTTTTGGTAGATTTTTATTTAGATGGCACACATATGTCCAACAAGTAAAAGCAACTTTACATAGATTTTTTTTCATGGTTATGGAATCAGTGAAAATCACTATCAGTAGTGTACCAAGTTTTCTTTTATTAACAAACTATTAATAAAAAATTTAACAGTTTTTATTGTTCTTTTCTACATTGTCCTTTTCAGTTCCTTTTGAATCACACATAACCTGTATTTATGGAAATGATTGAATGCATGCAGAAAACTTTTAAAAAACAATATATAAAAGATATAATTAAATTTTGTGATAAATTTTCATAATCAATCAATATATAAATAAATTTCTTCTACCATGATTAAACATTGATAAAATTACTTGACTGTTCCCAACTGATCTTCTTTTCAGTTTCCTCAGCTGGTATTCATTTTTTTCTTCTTTCATTAATACTTGCATATGATTTACGCACATACTGAGTGAGATGATACAATTAATCATTATATTGATGAGGAATCATACTTACAGATTCTTTTTTCTTCAGGTCATTTAGCATGGAGTTATTTCCCTTGGATGTCAATTCAATTTTAGTCAGTCTATCACTTTGTAACTGTTTTGTAACCACAAACAGAAAGAACAATCATGCAAAAATATAAATAAAAAATATTTCTCTTAACATGACAGAAATTGCATAAAAGCAAACTTTTATGCTGATCATATACAATTATCCTTCAAGTTTTGAGTCCTAATAATTTTACCTTCTGTTGCATGCAGAAACATTGACTTTATATTTTAATTATGAAAAAAAAAAGGAAATCTTTTCTAATGATTTTTGTTTGTCAAGTTTAGTTTATTCATAAGTAAAATTTGGAAATATTTGCATAATGTAAAATGTTTAAGGTGAAGATGGATGCATGTATAAATTGAACAAAAGGCAGTTTAATTAAAGCCAGTATGGAATTCAATGCTATGTACATACTTCTGATCAGTAAAACACAAAAGCACCACAAAAGGTATATTTTTCATGTCCTAGTATCGTACTTAAAGAGTTTGAATCAATTTGATAAACTCACTGTAGTATTTTTTGTGAGCTTTTTTTCCTACTGAATGAGGAATTATCAATGCTTATAGGAATTTCTGATACCCAGATCAAGAACTGTCATAAGAGAAAGAAAACCCCTAATCGATAATTCAAAAGAAACTGAAAAATGTACCAGCTCAACTGTCATAATAAAAACATTAAATTTATGATATGAATATTTATGTAACTTCTGTGGCAAAGATTTGAAAACCATTAAGTGATGAATTAACAAAAATAATTAAGCTTAATTTAAATATTTTCTTATAAGTTTACAGATAACCTTTCAATGAAATGATAATCTGGTTCATGGATGTTTTTCTTGAATTCATTTATTGCAAACTGAATGCCACAAAAACTGTTGTGTCGTGTATTTTGCTAAGTAAGCGTTTTCGACCTCTGTTCTAGTTGGTGTTCATTTATCATATGAGCTACCTGCTCATATGCAAATTATACTAATTTGCATCTCACTACATCTCCCTATAATGGAATGGCCTTATGCCGCGAGTACTTCTTGTACTTCTTGTGCCCTCCTGAACATCTTCCTTTATCTCTCTCCTTTCCCTTGGAGATCTAGATCTATCACGTCTTTCCCTATAATCGAACTGTTCCTCTTGCATACTCTGGTCTTTCTCTTCTAACTTGTCCCATTCTACTTCTTCCTCCTCTAACTCATCCCTCTCTACTTCTTCCTCCACAGTTTCATTCTGCATTAACTCTTCTGTTACGTCAATAATTGGCATCTCTGAAGGCATTTCCTCATCCGATTCTTCTCCTTGGGATCTTATTTGGTCAGCATGAGCTAGAACACTGTTCCCATTTTCTTTATTTAATCTTGCAGTATTATGTCCTTTCTGCATAATAAATTCGGCTGACTCGGGTTGCATATTCCTATTTCTTTTGTACCATATCTTTTGATTTGTGGCATATGACATAGTCAAAGGGGACCTTAATTGTCTGCCCATTAAGGCAGATGGACTTTCCGGCCTGCCTGCATGTGGAATTGTTCTGTAACTTAATAGTAGTCTTGGTAGAAAAGCATCGATTTCCTCCTTCTGTTGCAAGCATGCTTTTATGCCCTTCTTTACCGTCTGGACCATCCTTTCCGCTGTCCCATTACTTTGAGGGTGGTAGGGTGGGGTCTTGTAAGGTCTGCATCCTATTTTTTTAGCCATTCATGCAATTCAACATCCACAAATCAGCATTATCAGTCAAATGTTCTGGTGTCCCATTCCTCGAAAATATTACTCTTAATATTTGTTTTATGGTGGTACTTTTTTTTTTATCAGGTACTCTCACCACTTCAGGCCAACCTGAATATGCGTCTACTAATATTAATAATAGTCCTATCCCATTGACATAGGCATGGTCCATGTGTACTCTGCTCCATGGTTCTACTTCTCGGGGCCATACATATTTTTTTTTGCTTAAAATTCCTGAGTTCTGTGCATTTTTGCATCTTTTTACGTAGTCTTCTACGTCTCTTGAGTACCCCGGCCACCAGGCTTCCAATTTTAATCTTCTTTGCGTAGCTGCCACTCCACAATGTACGTCATCGTGTACACTTTTTATAACCTGTCTCCTCTGTGTTTCTGGGGAACTACCAAGTCTCCATTACATATTATCCCGTTTTCTATAGTCATTCTATGTCTAATTTCTTTGAATGGTCTTTCAGCCATTGAACAATTTCCCCAGCGATTCTGTTTTATCCTCGACATTATTCTATTTAACACTGGGTCATTTGTAGTTTCAGTAGCCATTTTATCTACAGATATTACATCGGTTTCTACAAGGTGCAAGAATGTGTCTTCAAATTCCTCGTCGTTTTTTTGTCCTCTCTATAAAACCTCAATCTAGATAAGGCATCAACGTGCGGTATCGTATTCCCTTTAACATATTCAATGTCAAAGTCGAACGCCATCAGTCTAATCGCCCAACGTAATATTCTGGACGTTGTAACTTTCGGTAGCTCTTTTCTTGGGTTGAAAATAAATTCCAGTGGTCTGTGATCACTTTTCAACAAGAATTTTTTCCCATCAAAAACTGTCTTGCTCTATCCGTTGTCCACACTATGGCTAGTGCCTCCCTTTCTATATTCGAATAATTGTGTTCAGTTGTTGTTAATCTCCTCGATAAGTACATTATGGGATGCCCATCTTGTGACAAAATACCAGATATGGACTGCTCACTAGCGTCAGTAGTTAGAGTTATGTCCTTCTTAGGGTCAAAAATTTGTACTATTGGCTTTTTTGCCAGAATCTGTTTTAAGTTTTCAAAGGCTTTCTGTTGGTGTTCTAACCAAATGAATTCCACATTTTTTTTTTCTTAACTTAGCAAATGGTTCTGTCAATTCATTATATTTTGGTACATATTTTCTATAAAAATTTACCAAACCTAAGAAGGACTCCAACTCTTTTTTATTTTTCGGTGTAGCAACTTTTAGAATTTTCTCTATTAGTACTTTATCTGGAGAGATCCCTTCCTTTGATATTGAGTAACTCAAAAATGATATTTCATTACTGTTGGTTACACACTTTTTTGTATTTATTGTCATACCAGCGTCTCTTAGCCGGTTCAGTATATTTTCAGTTTTTTTCTTTAAATCATCTTCATTTAAATCTCCAACACATATATCGTCTTGATAACATGGTATTTTCAAAATTTCCTATTACTTTTTCAATAGCTTTTTGAAAAATTGCACTTGCCGTTTTTATGCTATACGGCATTCTTTTCCACCTTAACAGGCCTATAGGTGTGTTTATAGTCGTCACTTCTTTAAAATTTTCATTTATCGGTATTTGGTGGTAAGCTGATTTTAGGTCTATCTTCGAAAATACTTTCATTCCAGCAAGTTTATGTAAAGCTACTTCCATATTCGGAATAGGGTACGAGTCAGCACAAACTTTATGGTTCACCCTATTTTATAATCTCCACAAATTCTCAGGTCACCATCTTTTTTTTTCAATACCACAATGGCTGATGCCCATTTACTTCCTCCTGGAGGGCAGTTTCTAATAAGTCTTCCTTTATTAGCTTTCGCAATTTAGCTATAACCAACGGTAATAAATGCACTGGTATTTTTCTCGCTTCGTAGTAGGGGGGAAACATCTTCTTTTTAATTTCAGGCTAGCTTCATAATTTTTAATTTTCCTGTTTTTTCTATTTCTATCTCATTAATCAACTTCGTTGAATTTATTTTTAAAACGTCATTCCCCAGTAGTCCATGCGTTTTTCGGCAATTTGTAACTATAATGGGTACTATTTCATATTTTTCTTTCAGTTCTATTGAACCTTCAAAGTACCCCATAATTGCTATAATCGAGCCATCAAACTGACGTAATTGTACGTTGTTTTTTTTTTAAAACGGTTTTCCCATTTTTCCCACAAATTTCTGGGTACTATCGTGACGTCACTACCTGTGTCGATTTGCATTTCGACAATACAGTCGTTGATTTTCACTTTTATTTTTGTATCTCCATTCTTAGATCCAGTATTTTGTATATTATCCTTTTTTACATTAAAAATCTGTCTATTTTCATCCTCTACTCTTTCCACATTTTTCGTTTTACATACTTCTTTGAAGTGATTTTTTTTAAACACTTTGAACATGTTTTTCCAAAGGCTGGACATTTTTCTTTTTTCATTTCATGAATTTTTCCACAGTACGCACAATTTTTTCTTTTTGTTTGTACCGTATATGTTTCAGCCATTATTTCTTCGTAGGATTTATTTTTATTTTGGTTGTAGGTATGTATTAACTCCTGCTGTTGTATAAATTCTATACACATATTCAAAGGCATGTTTGTAAGTTGTAACTGTTCCATTAACTTATATCTATGTGCTGAATTATGCATACCTTCAATTAATCTTAGTTGGATTAATTCTTCTTCTGTTGTCTGCTCTCCTGTTCCTAGTTTTTCGAATTCACAGTATTTACTCGCACTTCTTAACCGGTGTAAATATTTTACTATCGGTTCATCCACTTCCTGCTTCCTTGCCATAAACTTGGTCCTTTCTGCAATCACCAGTCTTTTCTTTGGCCTCATGTTTCCCTTAATAACCTGACTTATTTCTTCGAAAGTCATTTCTTCTAGTTCTCGAGGGTAAACCATTGTAGCAACCTTCATAATCGCTTCACAACCAGCGGTAGCCATAAAACAAGTCGGTGATTTCATTTTCCCCTCCTCTGTTTTTGTTGTCTTTCAACTTTTTACATCTTGCATTAGCAGTAAGGGAACGAATCCACGTATCTACGTATTCTGGGTCTTCAAGGACCAAAGAGTATCCTATCGGCGACGCCATTGTTGTGTCGTGTATTTTGCTAAGTAAGCGTTTTCGACCTCTGTTCTAGTTGGTGTTCATTTATCATATGAGCTACCTGCTCATATGTAAATTATACTAATTTGCATCTCACTACAAAAACATTTTTTAAGAAATGAATAAAATTTATTTTATTTTCATGGTTGTCTTATTATACACCAATGTTTTTTTTTTTTTGTTTTTCTTTGTTCATCTCACCCCAAGAAAGGCAA